TGATTGAATTTATCAATTTCCTTTGGTGCTAAAACACAACACTTCTGTTTAAAATCCTCTTGAATTTTTCACCCAAGTTGCTCTTTTGAACTGAGTTTCACCCTAATGGTGCCAGTACACTTTACTTCTCCTCATAATTCATAAAGCCTGCCTCTATAAAGACTAAACTCATCTGAGGACAAGCTCACCCACCAGCGCCATTCATGCAACGGCAAGCAGGATGGGACAACTGACCTAAAAAATAATAGACACTATACAGTATAAATAATCCAAGGTGCTGGTTGGCAATAATGCTAAAGTATTAATATTTCAGCTGAAAAAGACCTCCATATCTTTCTTGCACTCTCACATTTGGCAGGCTGAGTTTTTATAGGTAGATTTTCCTCTTTTTTCAGCTGGTAATCAATATGGCAAAATGTAAAGGCTTTCAATTTCACATCAGATATGATGTTAAAGGAAAGGGTTATCAGATAACATGAAAAAGAGACTTCAGGGCAATTACCCAAGTTAATGAGCGGCTTAGCAAATAATTAATTCATATTTATGTACTGGGGGAGTATACAGTAGGTTTCTCTGGAGGCAAACTTTCCATTGAAGCTTATGCAAATTGACTTACTCACCATCCTACGTCAGTATCCTTGGAAACAAGTTATTTATTCATTTTGGTCTCATTGCAGACCTAAGCCTGGGTCTGCAGTATGTGCTGTTCAATCTGACACACACACACACACACACACACACACACACACACACACACACACACACACACACACACACACACACACACACACACACCACACACACACACACACACACACACACCACACACACACACACACACACACACACACACACACACACACACAACAACACCGGTGTGAGTCTGCCCTCAGCAGCATGCAGAATTGAATTTCACGGTGTGGTGAGACGTGAACAATTTATCAGCTAGCCAGAGTTCAGTTGGTCAGCAGGGTTCAATACAAGGCCTCACATCAAAGGTGATGTTTATTCACAGACAACAGCCAAAACCCACTGCCCTCTCTTCTGTTTCAAAGAGAACATCTGGCCCTGTGCATATTCCAGTCATTAGAGGGGGGGCCATGCTTGCTACAACTGTGAAACTGGAGAATTTAATTGTTTGAAAGCCTTCCAGATTCGGATGCAGTGCATAAATAAATCATATCAGTCTTTCTTGGAGTCAATTTCAAAAGAAGAAATTAGAATGGCATCATTGATAAGTGAGGTGTAACAAAATGATCTTTAATGTCTCTTATATTAAGAGAAAAATATAATAGAAGTCAACTCTAGATGCACCAGATAATCCAAATCTGATTCAACTCGTGTTAGATGACTCCCACTTGCTCATCAATTGGAGGCGTGTTGTTTGTTAAAAGCATATGTAACGCCAATTAAACATTGTATAAATGCAGATGTGTGCAATGTGCAAACACTCTGTCACGTGCCAAAGAATTGTAGAGATGACACCGAAAAACAGCTGTAAGAAGCATAAGTTCAGCAACAGTTTAAGACTGTTAATAAACAAACTAAATGTGTTTCACCACAGTGTCCCCACTGGTGTTACAGGAAAATCCAAAAGCATCCAACATTCTTCTTTTTCTGTTTCTTCTTGCACTATTTGTATGTCTTGTGCATATGACGATAAAGCCTTTGAATGCAACGCCTGAATCCTTGAGTAGTATGTAAGCCTGTATAGAAGCTAGATGCACGCAATATCATACTCCAAGGGTTTTTTAGTCAGTATTGGAATCAGGAGAACAACATTATTTTCTTTAGCCACAATCTAATTGTTAAAGATTGTATTTATTTCAATACACAGGTTAATCCAAGTTTGATTATGTGATGTTCATGCATTTATTTTATGTTCCTGAAAAAGAAAACCTACATTTCGTTACATTGGAAAACCAATTTGTAGCGCCCGACAATTCAAAAAAAGTTTATTTTAAGAGAAAAGGAAAAATGAGAGAACCCTAAGAATCTCGGTACCAATACAAATAAAAACAAAGCATGGATATGAACAAAAATAGGAATATATTTGTGTATCGCTCCTTGCATGAGGCCCAATGAGTACATTTGGTCACATTGCTGAAACCAAACAGATGCCACCATTCACGCGCCGTCAAAGAGTCTCCTCATGGAGCTACTCAATCACCAGACAGTATGGATGAAAACATTTGCTCTGTGGGAAGCTCATTCTCACACTTGGGGAGCCAGATACAGTAAATACAACATCATAACTGAGGTCTCACACCAGCTCCATAACAACCTCCCACTCAATGAGCTTCAGTGACTCATGTAGAACTGTTGCTCTCCTCTGTTCCTCATCTTACATCCTTCTCTAAGGAGACACTTCATCATAAAACGCTAAAATGGTCTCACATCACGACACATCACTTTATCTTTGATCTCCTTTTCATCTTTTGTTGCACTCAGTTACCATCTAACAGGGAGGTGTCAACGACTGCAGCACCACTTCCATGTTTCTGTGCCTCTCTTCCTCTCTGATGGACTACACAAAGCACAGGTGCATTCTGGTATATGAAGTCTTTCTTTGAATCTGTCCCTGAAGATAATAATAATACTTAAATATGTATGTACGCAGTGGCTGAAATGTGTTGTACCTGTATGTTTTTTTCCTATAACATGTTTTGGTTCATATTTAATTAATTCTGTGTATAATTTGTATCACAAGTCTAAAGTTAATAATGTATTATTACAGGGAAGTTGGGGTAAAAACAAAACTACGTGTAATTGTTGCATGTGTTTGCAAGAGGCCTGTTTTAAGACTGTTTGGTAATGCCGGACAGTTTTTGGTGATGTGAAAGTTGCAGACAGAAGATCAACTTCTCAGACACAACCACAGAAACAGGAAGAGACACATTTATTGTTAGACATTAAACTCTTCCTCTGGTTTTCATTTAGTGTTAGCAGACAGAACAGAGTAGCTGATTTGTATGAGAATAAAGGTATTTAACATTAATCAAATGGGTATTTAGATTGATAGTTCTTTAAAATATGTATTTAACTGATTCTGAACATGCAACAAAGAAATTGAACAGTAAACATATATAGACAGACCTTAAAATAAAATGATAATGCACAATAAATGATGTATTTGATATATTTCATGACATAGGAAGAAGTAGACACCAAATGTTTAAGTGTGACAAAGATAAAACAAGCTAACAACTAACCATGCACTCAGAAATGAGTGGTGGTATTATTAGCTGCTAACATGCTACCTACCTATTTAGCATATCATTATGCACAGACAGACAGTGACTAACATTGGTGCTAAAATGTGCTAAACTACTCTTCTAGTCTAGCAGTATTGGTGAGAGACATGTCTCGATGGATTATTCTTTATTCAGAGGCTAACAAACAACTTTATTTTGACGGTCGAATCAAAGTTCAGCACATACAGCACTAACCCTCACACTACCATCTATTTTGTCCAAAGCTGTTGTTTTCTAAGACGCTTTTCATTTGGCTTTCAACAGAAGTAAATGAGAAGCAAAGCTAATTCTGAAGCACTTTGTTGTCTGTTTGCATCTTTCAAGGTATATTTCACCCACAAAATGACCTTTAGTACATCAATTACTCACCATGCATGCCGCCTTGAGTACTCTAGGAAAACCTGCATGCTACACGGTAAGCAGGAATACAAAAATGCAAGTCTTGATGAATTTAAATAAATCAGGGCCACATTTAACAGCATACTTCCCATACATGTGCGTGTTTGCTCTGTGCTTTTCGGTGCGAATACGGTTCTCTTTCAGGGACACAGTGGTGAATAATTAAAATACATATGGTCATTTAGTCGGTTAGGTAATTATTGAAGCTCGTCCTACTCTGACCAAAAGCGTGTTTTTGAGCTCATTTGACCGAACAACTTGTTCAAATATTTATAACATCCGCCGTTAGAAGAGTTCATCAACTGGGCTCCTCTCACCGTCCCCAAAAGTAGTCACGTAACCTGATTATAAATAAGGGCACCAGGTCTTCATAACCTTATTCTGACCTAAATTTGGCTGCAAAACAAACTGTGGTTGAGTTTTGCAGAGCAGCATGTGGCCAACACTGGTGTGGGCACGTGAACACAAGACCACCAGACAATAGACACTGTCCCACACACCCACACACCCACACACACACACACACAGAGAATGGAGTGACAATTTAGCCACGGCTCATTTAATCGCGCCCTTTCGTCCGGGCTGCGACCCTGAAGTAAGGGTCCCTAACGGGGGTTTTAGCCATGTCAAATTTATACTGAATGACAAGGACCAAGAGGTAAGGGGCAACACACACACACACACACACACACACACACACACACACACACACACACACACACACACACACACACACACACACACACTAATCAACCTGTTATCTTGGATGTTTCACAAATGTCAGCTCATTTTATTGCGATGGTTTCTCTGCACTGTTCGTTCTTACAGCAAATATATAAACAGCCTCACACCTCACGCTGCCTCTAACCACAAATAAAGTGAGTTTCCTTCCCTCTCTGCAGCACAGTACAGAAAGTGATGCTCGGCACTCACCCACACAGTTTGCAAAAATACCCCCGCTGCACATCCTTATTCACCATGATTCACTTTCACACTGTGTGGACAGAAAAAGTCACTCTGCTGCTGAAACAATGTCAAACACAATACAACTCTGCAACACACACACACACACACACACACACACACACACACACACACACACACACACACACACACACACACACACACACACACACACACACACACACACACACACACACACACAGGTGCCCCCCTCCTCTTATTGCCAGCAGGCTAGTGGTAGCGTAGATGTGAGTCAAAGGGGGAGGGGGTGTTGTGAGGACATGCTGATTGTGTGTGTGTGGTGGGGGTCTTTGTGAGGAGACGGGGGAGGGGGGGGGGGACATGGCGTTCCATTTCTCATAGACCAACAGCTGCTGTCTTTAGTGCAGGGAGAGGGGAGAGAGAGTGAGGAAGAGGGAGGGCTGCGTGGCGTGAGGCAGTGCGTGTGCTCGGTGTTTAGGTGAATCCACAGCCCTCTGGCTCACAAGGATAAAGGAGCTTGTCTAAGAAAGACACAGAGAAAAGCAACACCAGGACTTCCTTTTTGACCCTCTTTTTTGTTGCATCCTCTGTCCCTCTTGCTGCATTTTCTCAAGACTGGTTTGTCTCCTTTTTGTGGGTCTCTTTTGTTCCCGGCATCCATCTGTGTTTCACCTCCTCCTCGGTCCAGGGAGAAAGGAAGGAAGAGCATCATCCTCCCCTCCTGCACGCCCAGCCGGTAAGATTTTCATTTTTATCTTTTACCAAACGCTCCATCCTCACAGTCCCACCCTGCACCTAAAAGAGAGGCTTTGCTGGAGAGGGAGGCTGAGGCTGGAGGATGTGGGTTAGACTGAAGCCTGGTGCTAAGACTGGTGCTTGTTTTTCGAGGTGGTTTGTGGGTAGAAGGACTAGCGTGGGTCAGGATCCCGGGGGCAGGGAGGGAGTGATACATTTGTGTGGATGGTCAACTGGGGCTTGTCCTCTTTCACTGCAGTGGTTAGCCAGAGCGGCACGGTCACTGCCACCGTCACACACACACATACACACACATGTACAAACACACACCTCAGCAATTCTTCCTCAAAGAAGGAAAGGGGAATATGGAGTCCGCATATCCTTGTATGTGTTATATTTCCAGTGATGTATGATGGGTTTTGGTCAAAGGACATATGTGACCTAGAAGCATCACGACACATGCATCACATATCTCACTGATACACCGGAGTGTTTCTGGAACAATGTGGGTAGATCACATGTCAAACTCGCCTCTACAGCTCCATTATCACACACACTTTATATCAGGAACAGTTAGCATCACTGCAAAAAAAAAGGCATCCGGTTTTCTTACAGTGAGGTAGGTGTTTGAGGTGTGTGTGTGTGCTTGTGGGAGCCGTCTCGGCAAACAGCCTGCTAAAAACAATAGCCCCAGATTGCACTGCTGATCAGAAGGGGTGGGTGCATGCGACTAGAGTGGGAAAAAACAGGGAGGAGGGGAAAGGAAGGGAGGAAAAACTGAATGGAGGGATGAATGAAAGAGGGTTTTTAGGAGGCTTTTCAAATGTGACACAGATCTGCTGGAGGTGAATGTGTTCATGAGGTTGTTAGACGGAGCGGGTGAAGCCGTGTGACTCTGCAGGTCCTCTTTGTGTGCTGGGGGGGGGGGGGGGGGGGGGGGGAGCGATGCTGTGGATGGATAAATAGTAAGGTAGAAAGAGAAAGCATGATGAAGTGTGTGTGTGTTTGAGTATGTATGGGCGGGTAGAGGAGAGGTGTGTAATTGAAAGCTCTGCTCCCTGTCTATCCTACTGTAATCTACTGACTGGTTATAATCCATGTGAGTAGATGAAATGATGATTTACTGCCATGTAGACTTTCAGGACAAACACACACACATATAACACCCACACAGACACACACTCATGTTGTAATCTACAATTCAAAAATATATATCACAAACAGTATGCAGGTATGTCCTATCCTCTCTTTTTGTACAACATACATACACCTCTCAATCCATGTGCATATACAGTGTATGCCCACACACAGATATATAAAGATATACACATATATTCATTCACACTTTTTAATTTATCAATATATATATACATTTTGGATTTGGATATACTTACTATATAATGTATTAAAACATGTACATATTAATGTAATGTTTTCTGTCTGTATCTATATGATTCAGTCCATGATGCTGCGTGCCTTTGCCAGGTCTCATGGTTAAATAAACCATAAATCTTGTCTCCATGTATAGAGAATATATATCTTGGATCCTTGTCACAATATATCACTGTCATGTGAAACGTGCACTCATGCAGTGACTCATAGGGTTTTCGCTGACAGAATGAATGGCCATGAATCACAATATGCAGATGATAACCCATTTACTTGTATAAATAAAACAGCTAACGTGTGTGTGTGCACGGAGTGTGTTAATAAATGTGTGTGTAGGTTTTGTTCTGCCTAAGATGGAACGGAGGTTGCGATGGTATTTACTCTGCTGTTGCTAGGACACTCCCTTTGAACATTTTAACCGAGCCTTTTCATTGGCCCGCCGTGATGATGCAAGACTCCCTCATCCCAAATCTTTCCTGAGAGCCCATAGAAACATGCCCGTCTGCATTTCCTCCTCGCTCCTTCTCCGTCACTCTTTGTCTCTCACCCCCTCTTCTCAGGCAGTATCTCTGCTTGTCACTCTCTATTAATCTCTTCCCTCATTAACTCATTTATTCATCCACTGCTCTCAACATTGTGTTCCTTTCCCAGCCTCTCGTATCAGTCTTCATCACCTCGGTACATTCTGTCACTTCCTGCACCCTCAGCTGGTCAAAATGCTCAGCGCAAAATGGTGTTGACAGCATGTGCCGGTATCTTCCAGCGCTGCACTATCACTCTGTCCTGCAGAGAATTTAAATGCTCTCACAATGTCCCATTTCCTCTGTCCATATGAGGTGCAGTATCTTATTAGGATGCCTTGGCATGTGTCCGAGTTATCAGGTCTGACAAGGAGGAAGACAGGAATGGGGGTTGGGGTGTCATGGTGGAGGAGGCTGTCTTTTTTTTTCTTATTGTACTTCACTACATGTATTTGAACCTTTTTGCTACTTGAAAATAACAGCAGTTATTCATGTCATAACTGCAATTACCCCAAGTTCACAGCTTCATAATATATTCCCATAATAGCACTCATTTCACGCTACAGATGTGTGTAATGTTATTGTTCAAGCATGTTGATTATGACATGCTTTGGGACTGGGAATAAGGAAGGGGTAGGCGAGGTTAGAACGATTATGTTTGTGTTGTTTGCTGCTTCACACAGTATTTTCACCTTCGAAGCACTTTCAACATCAGGTGCATTGATGTGTAATGACCAGCTTTCACTGAACTCGCCATGGCTGAAGCCGCAGTAATAACCCTGACCGACAGTGTATGAAAAAGGCAGATGAGTGACATGTGCAATGACACGGAAATGTGTGCAGTTACTCAAAAGTGTCACGGTTCATGCCTGAAAAAAATGGTTCGTCAAACATTTTGACACAGAATGGATGCTAATAGGACAGCCTGGGAGAGCAGCAAGCATCTGAATCAAGTCAAAGATGTAAGGAAATTAGTGTAAAGGTCTTACTATCTTTCCTATCATTCTTAAACTAGTTTCTACAGCAGTTTACTTGTAAATATAACCATGTCATGATTATATCTGGAGGGAAATATGTGTGCTATTTTAAACCCAAACAATCCTGTATGATTTGTTGTCGGATTATTGCTCTTTTTTTTTACTAAGAAAAGCCTATTATAGACTTACGTATTATGACGCCAGAAACAAATTGATGGACCACTCATGTTGCCTCCAATCCTTTGATTAAAGTACAACATCATCCATATGTTTGTCCATGTGGCCCAACTGATTTCCTCAGAAATGCCTGACAATCCACATTAAATCTCAACACCCGTAATCTTGTTGACTGGCTGAAACCCATCTGTCCAGTAGTGACATCTGCCACTCAAACATCTGGCACTTCAGCTTTCATCCTTACCATTTAAAGTCCTTTAGTTTTCATTGGAATTTAAAAGTCAGTCAAGACTAATATAGCTGGAGTTGAGTTAATTTCGATTTTCAAGATGTAATCTGTCTCCACCTGCCTGGTAATCTTGTGGATTTTAAGGCAGTATTGTTAGAAATCTGGAATTAACCTTTCAAAGAGGAGAAGATCCTGTTAAAGGAGCACATGGTGGCATGACAAAGGATCCTGATATAGCAAGAAGTAGGTTAAATCTAGCCAAGAAATAAATTACAGAAAATCAGTATTATAAGCTGTTTTCTATAATAGTGTGGAATTCTGGCTTATTCACTTTCTTGCTGAGTGTTTAATTAAAAGATAAGTTCCACTTTCCCTTTAAACATGAGGCTTTGATCAGCAGCCGGTTAGCTAAGCTTAGCATAAAGACTGTAAACACAGAGAAACTACTAGCCTGGTTCCATCTGAAAGTATCAAAATCCATCTACTAGAATGCAAAATAATGAATTACCACAATACAACTCCATCATCTGCACACAATAGTAAGATTATGAACCAACAAGTTGTGGTTTCAGAGAGGACGTAGACCTACATGTATCTTACCAGGAACCATTACTTCCTGAATTCCCTGCTTGTATCCTTGCAACTTCAAGGTGACAAGAATACTTTTACATTTAGTTTGTAAGGAATATACCACCCCTCTATAATGTTTTTTTATATGAAACAGATCGTTTTGAGCAATACTAGCTCGTCCCTCTGCTTCCTGTCTTTATGCTAAGCTAACTAGCATATAGGTGAAGCTTGAAAGCCTATTTACTGTGGCATCGATCTTGTTTCCCAAACGTTTGCCTTATTAGTTAAAGACAGAGGGATGCATGGTAATGTCACCGATCAGGAATTATAAGTGTCTTCAGACAAAGACAAAACAGGATACTCCAAATTTCCGAACAAATAACAATTGACCAGAAATCAAACTCTCTATTTCTCCATCCGACTTGTTTAAAATAAATAACATAATTCTAAGACCCAACACTTGATTAAAAAACTTGGCAAAAAAGTTTCTCAATGAGGGATTCTTCAATTTACCACATTTCTGTGAAGTAACCCACTGAACCAGCGAGGATATAGATTTAAGAGACAGTGAGATTTAATTCTCAGTGACAAGGGAGCCACGATCTGATAAGTCTTTGATCGCATTACCTAACTCTCCATGTTGGATGGCACTCATGGAAACTACGGCAAAGTCTTATTAAACTCTGTTATCATCCTTGTTACTGCCATCCTGCTGAAACTCTTTGAAATGTACGATACTACATCTACTAAGACACGGAGACGGGCCACAGTGAATCCTTTCTTTCTGATGAGGGTGTACTTCTAACTGGACGTGACTTGGCCTGTCAAACTCTTTATTCTACGGCAATAAAATAGGAGATGGTTCATTTCTGGATGTAATCAAATGACTCCAGATCTGCTCTCTAAGGACTTCCTACAGTATCATAGCCTGCTGTCCTTTGATCAGATCAATTGCTGTCCAGTAACGTCAATGAACAGAACAAACGACCGCCCTCTGGTCATATTTAAGATCAATAAGCTCAATTTAACGAGAAGGTGAAGCTGATTTAGGCCGATGGTGGATTTCAGAGCAGGAAGAGAGAGAGTATTACAATTAGTGTGTGATAACTGAAGAAGCAAATGATCTGCTAATCAATCG